TGGATGGATGGATGGATGGATGGATAGATGGATGGATGGATGGATGGATGAATGGATGGATGGATGGATGAATGGATGGATGGATGGATAGATGGATGGATGGATAGATAGATGGATGGATGGATGGATGGATGGATGGATGGATGGATGGATGGATGGATGGATGGATGGATGGATGAATGGATGGATGGATGGATGAATAGATGGATGGATGGATGAATAGATGGATGAATAGATGGATGAATAGATGGATGGATGAATAGATGGATGAACGGATGGCACTGATGTTTGTGCAAGTCTCAAGTTCAAGTGCTCACTCCTCCGATTCGTTTGTTTAAAAATTAATATTTTTTATTCTTTGTTTTTTTATTTTTGGTTCTTCCACTTTTTATTCTTTGTTTTTCTTTTTTTATTTGTTGTTTCACTAGATTTTTTTTTTGCTTTCATATTTTCAACCAAACTTAAAACTCCCTCTACCGGTCGAATCAAATCTTAAATTAAAACTTGTGATAAGATGTTAAGAATTGGTCAGCGTTAATTTATAAACTCTTAAAATTATAACAACTAAATTCATTCAGAATAGAATTCATTTTAAGTTTTCAGACGCTGGCAACAGAAGTTTTCGTAATAGTAACAATTATTTCAATAAAAACTAATTATGAACTATTAGATTGAGAAACCAATTAATATTGTCATCATAATTATCACTATCATCATCACTATCCTATACATGATGATGATCATCATCATAATCATAAACATCATCGGCGTCGTCGTCATCATCATCAGCAGCAGCATCACCATTTTATACATCATCATCCCCATCTTCATTATCATTATAATCATTATTTCATGATCACGCTAAATCGTTCACTCACTAATACAATCGTCTTTTTTGTAACCTATTCGTTTAATTTCTATGCTAATGCTATTATCATCACAGTTGTAAGGAATTGTAATTTAGATGTTTTTCTGAGAAAAAGAAGACGCGATCGATAATAAAGTTAAAAATGGCCACCATAAGATAGACAAATAATTGCTCATTAACCTTTGGAGTTCAAACTGTAAAACTCATAGATAGCTAAATCGATAAAAACCTCATCATCAATGTTGTATTCGTCCTCATGCAAGTCATCATATCATCCTCATCTTAATCGTCGTCGTCGTCATCATCATGATGACTGATATAATAATCATCATCCACATCATCTTCATCATTGTCCTATCGCTATTATGTTTTTGTTACACCAGTTTTAAACTTCATATCGTTCTCAGTCTTATCTTTTATTGTAATAACAATTCATACCCCAACCAACATCATCAGCATCGTTATTGTAGCATCATAAATATCATCATTGCCGACATATCATCGCTATGTCACTGACAATCCTTAATCTCATCTTATCATCACATCACAAGCGCACTGTATGACATACCAACATTAGGGTTTCCATTATCGCCAAATTCGCATATACACATACATAACATACTCAACCACACTAGGAGATCACACTAACAATAGTAAAAATAATTAAACCGACACACACACACACCTGTACACAAACACACCAAAAAATTTGACACACACACACACACACACACAAAGGCAAACACGTTTAATGATCATAAACCTACACACACACACACACACACACACACACACACACGTCCGTAAATAATTTAAATTGTCGTCAGTTCTCATGTCTAACTGCCAGGTCAATTCACATCAACATAACATGGTTGGACGCTGACTAGCGCTGCATAAATAAACCAAATTAATGTCGTAGTTAATGAATAACAACAGCGTTTTAAACTTTAATAAAACCATCTACATGCAACTATAGACTTGAAAAAAATACTAAACATAACGACAAAATTATCCATTAACAGACAAATGTTAAAAGTTTCAGTCAGCTTCCGATTTATAAAGATTATTAATGAAAATTAACATAAAGTGAAAAAGTGACTGAAAGTTCAACAAAATATACAAACATCATCGCCTATACCAACAAATTAAATTCAAATTAATATCAACCAAAATAACATTAAGATGCTTAAGGGAGAATGGAGATTGGTTGACTTACATGAAGAAAAATAATTTTTTTTCGACAACATACAATTTGTTTCCATTTAATTATTTTTTTTCCAACAAAATATTCCTCAAATAAAGAACAATGTTTTTTTAAATGCTCAAAAATGTTAAACCTCCAAACCCTGATAGAACATTTCTGGCAAACTTACAATTAATAACAACATTATCTGCAAGAACACGCAAGAAAACCAGTTCAACAACCTTTTCATAAACATATCTAAATCAGAAATAAGACAAATAAAATTCTAGCAATGATAATGTAAATTTCACAAACAATGACATTAATTCTAGATATATTAATCGCAATTTATTGCCATCACAACAACAACATCATAGGTAACTCGTGCAATGAACATTGGAGAGTAATGATACATAGTGTGGTAGCGTATTGGTTAAAGGCGTCCGATTTTGATTCGTAGTGACTGGATTCAAATGCATAGATATGCTTATGTGCAGTGTGTATGTCTGTTTGTGTGTGTGTAAGTGTGTGTGTGATGTGTGTGTGTGTACAATGCAACATCAATAGTAACATAGCAATGAAAACATCATTCACGCTTTTATAACAACCATAACAACACAAATCATAGCAACATCAATCAAATAACACAGTTACATTTATTGCTTTTACTAACACGCATAAATATGCAAAATGAAATTACTAAACAACGCAATATTAACTACGAGAAATAACAACAAACATGGAACCAGCTGTAACAAATGTTATTATGTTTGAATAAAAAAATCAAACAGGTGTGTATCTCACGTCCCGTAACACTACATGAAAACTACGAAAACATTCGTGACATTCATAACGAACACAACAACATCAGCAACATAGCATCAACATCTCAATCACATCATAAACAAGCAGCGAACAGAGGAAGAG